AATTGGATACATGGTGAAGTTCATTCCAGTTTCACACAAACCATTCTTTAGTTACATCAAAAGGTTCCGGCACATATTCACCGTGTTTAGGGTAGTCATCTATCACAAAAGGCAGACTAACAGGAGTGATCTGGAGTTCTAGAAGAAATTCAACCAACCCAAGCCAGACTATACCTATCCTCTCGTCTCAACCTGGAGAGGATTCAGTCACTGTTAATTTGCAGAAGAGTTTGGAACCCAATTTCACCTAGCAAGGTATGTACATTTACATGACAGTTTTGATCCAAGATAGGATTCCCTCTAAAGCTAATTTATTGAAAAGGGGTATTTTAAGTGATCTTAATTTGACTTGGCATGGAAGATGCAAAATACCTATTATTGCATTGTGTTACTTCTTCTAGATTATGGAGCAAGTGCCTCGGATGGTGGAATTTGGTCTATGCAATGACCGGAGTTATTCGGAGGCTTTTAATCAGATGATGAGATGTTTTTTGGTTTACTTGTTGTCTGAACAATGTCGCTACCTAGAAATGAGAAGGTGTTTGAAAATAGCTCAGATCTTTTAACTCCATTGACAGCAAGATGGATTCTTCTGCTTTTCTAGTTCGCAGATTGGACTCTTTCTCCAGCGCTGTGTTTGGAATCGGTTTTAGAAGGAACAGAGTGTAAACGCATTTGATAAATATCAAAGATCATCAGGTTTAAATGCTGTCCGTGATTCAAGGCAACATGATTCAAGCAAGGCATCAAGTTTAAATGGGGTTCAAAGATCATCAAGCTTAAATGATGTCCATGATTCAAGCAAGGCATTTGATTTTCAAAATCACAGCAAATCAGAATTAATTGACTCCAGCAAGAATCCAGCAACTAATCTCCAAGATAACAGGAAGATGCAATCAACCATTAAGGCTTCAAATCAGTGATTTTAACCAACGGCTATTTCTGCAATTATTGTAATTAATATTCAAATTTCATCCTGTAATTATATATAAATGGAAAACTACAACCACTTCTGGTATCCTGCA